ATGCTTGCTTTTAGGTTGTGAACTCCTAGGATTCAGGCTGTCTTTATTATGTTTACATGTACATAAATGCCTTTCCAGTGCTGAAATTAACTGGGCCCGTGAAGCAAGAATCACAGTTCTTTTTCTCACTATAAACGTGTTTAATCACAGCTGCAGTAGACAAGGAGATGCAGTGAAGTAAATACAAATATCAAGGATGACCCTTTATTATTTTGCATGCTGCTTTATGGTTTTTCCAAAAAGACTTTATGGGCTTGCCAACACTGTAGTTTGATAACTTAAGGAAAAAAAAATTAAAAACATTTTAGAGGCAAGTGCCTTTTCTTGTTGGGATAGTGCACCTCCTTGTTGGGATACTCTTGGATTCATTTGTACAGCAGTTTTATTTTTCTGAATGTAAAAATAATTTAAGAGCCAGAATAGAGCTCAGCTGTCTTTGGGGTTCTTATCCAAAATAATCTTTAACTTCATTTCTCGTTCTTCTCAGCAGCCCCTTAGCTAAAAAGGCACCTAAAATAAATTCACCTAATCTTTCAGTCTTTTTAGGAAGCTATGTTCTTGTTTTACTGTTTCTTGAGGAATTGGACACTAAAATATGTCTTGGTGGCTGAGAATTTTGAGACAAAGCATAACTTACATGTGCTTCCTGCAGCATGGACTTTAATACACTGCAAAATACCCAGAACTGTTTTCATTCAGAAATGCAGCCACTCTGTAGAGCACTTGGGTAAGGAGTAAGAATTGTGGGTTCCAGGTTGTCCTCAATCTGGAATTCTTCTTCTTAGAATAACATCCTAATCGCCTGATTAGCAGTGACCTTTAAATTTGAATCATTGTACAGCAAAGAAGGCAGGGTATTTGAGTCCTTAACACATGAATTTTTCTGATGGGCCACGTAGAGGCTGCAGGATGTTCTGCTGAGTTACCAAGTGTTTGAGTGTATTTTCCATTTTGCAGTGCATGAGAATTTTCAGTCTAGCAAAATTTTTACACTTACAGAAATAAATGGTTGTCACTTCTATAATTATGGTTGAGCAGTAGTTAATGCTTGTTTTGTCCAACACATTGTGGCTGACTGCAGTTCTCATCTCTGAAAGTGTTTGCATGTTGCTTTATTCTTCTTTAGTCTATAATGGAGAACTTTGAATTGTTCATTTGTAAAAGCTCAGTACGTTAATAAATGATGGTGTTAACTATCTTTTCAGCATAAAACACAGGTAATAGAGCCCTTTCACGTGTGCATTTAAGCAAGTATTTTAAATTCTCTTTTTTCTTTACTAGGAAAATGTGCTCTGTAGAATTTAATTCTTTTACTAAAACTGCTAGCCAGAAGCTAATTTGAAGCATCAGGAGTCAGATGATAACAAAATAGGGTAAAAGGCAACAAATATAATTGCTTGTCTGCTGTTTATAGATTATCTAAAGAACAGCCATGAAGTTGACACTCAGTTTTTGAGTGGCAGCTGTGAATTTGACAATTATCTTGTCCATTTCTGAAAACTGTAAGCATCAGCAACTGTTGGCACAGTCAGGAAAATGGTATTGCCTGGTTTATCTGTTTTCCTTTATCACCACCTCTGCTGTGTCTGAAAATTGTTCTAAATGAAAACTTCAGTTTTTCTAAAATTTGTATCTTGCTTCGAAAGCCAGTTTTTTCACTCGCCAATATTCGCCACCCCCCCCCCCCCCCCCCCCCGCCTCTTTTCTGAAATCTCTTGATCTTTGGTTATGTTTCATGTTTAACATTCAGTCGTGACTACAGAATACAGCTGAACGTGTTACAAAGAGTGATTTGAATAACCTTCACTTAGATTACAAAATCTGAATGATCACTACAACCACACCCATAAAACAATGAACTTTCATAAAAGACAAATTAAGTGGAAGCAAAATGGGTATCTCACAAGGACAGAGTGAATGTGGAGAGACCTTTTCATTCAAAGGTATGTCAGCTGGGTTATAACTGGCTCTAATTAGCACACTGTATTCAGCTATAAAAATTCGTTATCTTTAAGGTCAGTGACACTCAAAGATGTGAAATTTCTTCCTACCTTTGAAAACATCAAAGAAAGTGTTTCCAATCTAGCTTTTACAACTGAAAGTTCAGTGGTCAGTGCAGGAAAGGTGCAAATACATCAACAAGCATAAAGAATATTGATCTGTGGCTGGAAGAACTCTTAAAGAGATAATTGATCATACTAGATTTGATTATCTATAATTAAAAATACATCTACATATATCAACACCAAATGCCAGTTATACTTGCAGCAATATGTAAGAAAAATGGTGAACTTTAAATGTGTTCAGAATCAACTTGAAGATTTCTTAGTTACCCATTCAGTTGTGTGATGATCCTGATGTCTTTAATTTCGCTTTGGGAAACTGAATTGCCAAAGGTTAGTTGTAATCACATGCAGGTTATAGTGCATTAATTTTTTTTATTGTATTATATGTTCATAAATTTTTTTCATCTCTTTGAAGGATCTAATTGATATATCTCTGCAGCAGAACTATATGATACTCTGAAAGACCCATGTTAGTGCCAGTTGGTTACTTATTATTATGGGCAAAATGATGATTGAATGTATAATTGAAACTACTTCATAATTTTTTATTATCAACACTCACTTTCAGTTCCTTCTAAGTTTTTCCAAGTTGTATCATACAATTTTATCAAGAAACACTTTTGAAAATATGACGTATGATACTACAGGCAAAACAGCCAAATTTAAAGCAAATCATAGAGTCATTCTAGTTCCATGTCCTTGTTAAAACACATTTAAAAACATGATGGTAGCTTAATGTGCTAAATGAAGTTATTTTTTCCTAATACAGGAGAGCTCATTACAATTGAGCTTTTGCAAGTAGTTAATTTCCATGGATTGACAGCATAATAAGGATGCAGGTCATGGTTCCAGAAGAAGATAGATGGAGAAGCTAGTCCTTTCTTTGATCTGCTCTGTTGCCTTAGGGAAAAGTTCAGTGGATGAGGAGTCAACCAGCACACCCTTTTAGTTATAATTCCAGCTTTTTCATCTACTTGGTGTTAATTTTCTTTTTTAGCATAGTTCTATTTTCTCTACATAGTCTGGCTTCTCTCTAACAGCAAACAGGTGCAGTCATCTGCCTGTATAGCTGATGCTTGTTTTTACTAAAAGTGCAGAGTGAAAAGCAATGAAACTGTTCACAGGAGTAGAAAGCGGATTTTGAGAGGAAGGTATCAGTTGAGAATAACTGAGGTTATGTTTCACTTACGGTGTGAAAAAATGACACTGTGTCACTTCTTTCTGTTACCTGCAACTTCCTGTTTTCTTTTCCCTCTATTTTATACCATTGGATTAGATGGAGTTCCATGGCTTAGATCTGGGGCCAGCCAGGTCTTGCCCACTGTCTTAAGAAGGTAGGAGTACTGCAAAATTGAGGATAAAATAGGAGTATGCATGCTGTGCAGCACAGAGTTAGGACGGTAGGTAGTGGCTGCCTAATGTTGGGCTTACTTGCCCAAGACTGCATCTACTCATGCAACCTTCTTTCATCTCTTCAGTCCAGATAATGAATTGATTCATGCAAAAAACTAAACAGACTAGAAAACTTATGTCTAGTCATTGACTCTTGACAAACCTCAAGAGGTAATTCGTCATTATATGCACTGAGGATGAGAACAGTGTATCAAATGCCTTTGAATAACTTAAGTTTTTGTCTAGCGGTGGGAAGAAATTTCTCCATGTAGCTATTGATACTAAAGTTGTCATCTCTGTCTTTAGCTGTATTGTGTCACTAAGATGATTGGGAGGTTGCACAACTTTCTTTTGAAAGTGTTGGGAATGGAAGCCTATTCTCATCAAATGAGAAAATTATCTGTTAACCTTACTGTTACCTCCAGCAAATTTATTATGGTTATAGTGCATATACTTAGCTGTGCTGCCCATACTGACTGGCTTGAGTATGCAGCTTCCCATAGGCAGAACTAGAGATGAGGACTGATTTCTTGTGTTCCTACATGTATAGCATGAAACTGGTGAATCATAGGTAAAAAGTATGTTGATTGAGTCATGATGACAGCTGATGAGCTGGAAGAGGTTTGGATCAGAGCGCTGAGGCTTATGATTTTTGGTGCATCTTCGAAAAGGAGGCACAGCTTTACATATGAAGAACTTTGAGGTTTCAAGCTAAAGCACTCGCAAGTGGGTGTACATCAAGATCTCTTGTTTTTCTGTGTAGGTATGCAGAATGACTGTGACAAAAACCTAATTACTGTTTGTTTTGCATGATTGCTGTATGATGCAGTATGCAGAAAGGATGACAAATGGAGTAAGGATTTTGAGAAGCTCTCTTTTTACAGTTAGGGTAGCACCTAGGGAAGCAGCACAGCATTCCTTTTTCTGGCAGATTTGGATGGGATGTCAGAGGGCACTCAAAAGAAAAAGAGAAGGATGTATACATTAGCACTGACTAAAAGATTCTATAAGCAAGCCTAAGTTTGGTATTACAGAGCTTTTAAGTAACTGGTAACTGCAGTAGTATTCATCTAGTATGTGTAAAAATTCTTAGATTGCTAGATAATGGCAGCTTTTGCACTTAAAATATGGGATGGATTTCAGCTGAAGGAAACCGTAGGGAATATGGTTTAATATGTTTTGGAATAGATTAGATCCACAGAGTTAAAATGGCAAATTCTGATTGGTTTTAATGTTAAGTCGTTTTTTTGTTTCCTGTTTCTCTTTTTCAGTGTTATGTGGGAACCAATGGGAGATGGTAAAAAGATTATTTCGCTGGCTGATAATAACATATTGTTGTGGGATTTGCAGGAAAGTTCAGCCAAAGCTGTGGTAAGATTTTTTTTTTTGTATTAAACAAAACATGATATACTTCAATATAGTACAACATTCACTAGCATAGACTTTGGTAATCTTTTAACTACTTCAGAAATATCTTATTGCCTTTAACGTGGGTGAGGGAAAGGAATACTTTCAGCTTTCTTGAATACAAGTGTTTAAGAGTATTTTGTATCTGTTGCTAATGATTACATATTTCACTTTTTCTAGAGTTCCCCTTACTTTCCTACTGGTTTTACAGTGAATAATCTAAAATAAAGCAATGCTAATTTGATAAGTGTGTACAAGGGAAAAATCGGTGATCGGTAAAGCTGAAGGTTATTGAATTCAGATAATAGTATATTAACTCATGTTGGTTAATATCATGCAGCCTTTAATATAACAACCCTTGTTGTATGTATAAACATAATATAAATTTCTCTATTTAGTATGCACAGCTTTGAGTTCTCACTATTAATTTAATTTGGTACTATATTGTCTATTCAGATTATTTCGCTCATTGTTAAAACCTTGTTGTTCAGGAACATATCGGAAAAAAGTGTCATTGGCATAGATTTCTGTCTGATTATGCCACCTCTTATAGATAAACAAAAAAAGTTTATGTATAATGACATAAATTGTATATAGAAAACTTTGAATGTTTTTGTAGAGAGTCATGTAGGTCGTCTGTCCTTAAAAATGGAAACTGATTATGTCAGAAACTTTATTATTCAGTTGATCTGTTGTCACTTCTTGAATTAACTCCCAGTTCAGGGTTAGTTTCTTTTCTTGGATGCTGCAGAATCAAATTTTTCAACTGACAATTGCTTAAAGACTCAAGATGTTTTGTCCATAAACTCTTCCCTGTTGTACCATCTGACTGCCTGCAAATAGTAGAAGTCTTGGTCGTTACTATTTTGCTAGATTTTGCATAGTATCAATGTAGTATAGTTTAATCCTTTATGTTCATAATTAAGCTCTTTGGGTTCCTTCACTAGATGAGGAAGCTTCAGGGTTTTTTTCAGCTGGAACTTCAATCAGTGTTACGTTACCTTCTAAGGCTTTTTCAAAGTAGTGTTTGTTTTTGTCAAATTGATGTTGAGAGTTTCTGAAGGCTAGACTCCAGGAGCTTGTCCATGGCATTGTATCCACTGAATTTGCATTACTCCTACATTAGTCAGAATTTTCTAATGCATGCATAACACGCAGACCTTTTTGGAATGCCTTCTTTAAACCTGTTGACAAACTACTTATGGGGGTGGTGCTACTTCCATGCTGCAGCTCTTCGTGTCTCTTTGAAGTACTGGGACTGCTAGACTACTTAACACTTTCCCTTTCTCCTCGTTTCTCTCTTTGGGCAGCTCTGTCTTCTCTTGCTGAAGTTCTTCTGAAAGTTAATTAGTTTTTCAGTGTCCCAACCACTTTCTCATAACTGTCATGGATTTCTTCCTGCGCTCTCTGAAATACTATTTTCTTTGGGATGATGTTTAGTTTGTTACCAGTCTCTCTATAAGTACATGTAGGAATCTTGTAAGGAATGTGAAATTCTTTTTTTTTTTTTTTTTCCCCTCCTCATTTTATTTTACTTGGGATTTATTTACTAAACTTTTGCATGTTGTGTCTTTCTTTTACTATTCCTTTCCTCAAAACTAACCTGCTCACTCTGTCACGCAAATATTTGAGAATGTAACTATGATTTCCATTTTCTTTTCCTTCCATTGCTAGAATTGGAATCTGCCTAATTTTGGAGAGGACTAGAGTCCTCACCAAACGATGTCATTTCAGCATGATTTTGGAAATCGGTATTTCTGTCCTCAAAGCAATATTCAGCTTCCTGATTCCTTCAGCATTTCAGTTAGTGTTCCTTACCTAGAATATCTTTTATTCTGTTAATTTTAAAATATGCCTGTACTGCATCAAATATTGATGGCAAAATAAGGACTGCAGAAGGCAAAGCAAGTGATAAAGGAACTAAGGGGATTTAACCTGTGACATTTGTTATATGCTTGTGTTTGATAAAAGGAAACAAGAAAAACCAGTATGAAATTCTGCATCAAAAAACCTGCTTCATCTACTGAAGTTAAGGCTATGAAAGTAGATATATCAACCCTTGACTGACATTTTCACATAGGAGCATTTTGAAATGTTTGTTAAAAACATTCGTTTGCAGAAGTTAGGAGTGTCATTTAGATTTTACAGTGAGGCTCTCAGGGGACTTGATACAGAATTTTACTGATTCTCTATATTTCTGTCTAAAATAATCTAGTATCTCATGTGAGTGCACTGTAAATTAGAATTGCTTGTGATTAAAATTTTACCTGGAAATAACTGTTTACCGTTATCAGTCTTCTGCTCCAGCAATTTTGAGTTACTCTTAGACTGTATTTGCTTCATCACTGAGTCAGTGACCACTTTTGAAGTGAGGTTTAATAGTGAAAGTCCATGGAGACTCAAGTCTCAGAAAACATATCTCCAAGCACTTAAATCTTAAGCCAGGTAAATTTCTTCCAACATGACTGGTATTGTTGCATTCCTGTTGAATTTTTGTCTGCAACAAATTTGTGTCAAACATGTCTATGGGTTCCTGAGTTAACCAGCATCCAGCTGAACGAGACTGAGGAAAGCATGAGCGTCTCTGTGAAATGCCTACCACAGACTTTCTAGTAATTGAAATGATGACAACCTAAAGTCCAGTTTCATAGGCTTTTTCAGACCTAGAATCAGTTGCTATGTGTTTCTGAAATCTTTGAAGATTACCTCCTTCCTAAAAGGTTGACTCCCTGTTAGAATCTGTAGAAGGCTGAAAAACAGTAACTGTTACTCTGTAGCAATTTTATATTTACAAAAAATTATGTAGGACTGACACAGGGAGCAATGAGGAAAAATAAGAAATATTTCATTACTGAGATGGCTTTCTATTTAAAAAACGAGCAAAAAAACCCCACAAAAATAACACTCAACCTCGCCCTTTGCTATAATATTTGGAATGTGAGAGAGAAATCTGTGAGAACAGGTTGGTTAGAAGACAGATAGCATTGGTAGGGATAAGCAATAAATATATTTTCCATTTGGTTATCACCGTGTATAAGGAGTGTTTGTAGGCCAATAAGCTGTTGGTGAAATAGTGATTTCTTCCTGTGTATATCCTGCTTACTGTTGAATGCAAAATATGTTATAACCCTAAAAAGCACATGATTTGTATTTTAATGCTTTTCAGTCAGAGTGTAAAAACACACTTTTCTGGGATATTAGTAAAAAGAGCTTTTTTGACCTTCAAAAGAGGTATAGAACACGTATAGAAGAGCCTACAGCAAAAAAGTCAAGTCTCACTAGAATTAAAAAGGGGGCATTTTTGCTTTGTTTTGTTTTTGGGGGAGGTGTTGTGGTTTTGTGTTTTGTTTTTTGTTCTTGTTTTTTAAAAAAGTATTTTTTCTGAAGAGAGACCATGGAAACTGTTCACAGGTCCTTTGCAAGGTGTCAGTTACTGCTATGCAGAAGATTCTTGCCAGGGAGTCCACATTTGCTTTATATGCAGATACACAGGGAGATTATTTAAATGATAGGAAACATTGGGTTTGTTGTTCATTAGGATAAAAGGCTGTCCATTTTTTTGCATGTTTTAGCCACCTGATGTCTTATCACCTAACACGCTGTTTGGTTCTAGCAGATGGTGACAAGGCAGTAAGTAGCTATCAAACGTACCTATTCTGTAGGGACTGTTGAGAGGGAAACATCCTCTACAAAATATTCCCATTGCTGTAGACTTATAAGCGAAATAACCATGTGTCTGTGCATCTGTATACATTATTTTAATTGAGTAAATAATAGCCTAGGATTAAGACAGTAGAAGTATCAGTGTGTTTTTCAATTTTTTTCCTTTTTGTCAAAAACATGATGGTGTTCAAGTTGAATGATTTCATCCTCATTAACTAAAAGTAGAATCTGGACCACTGTATCTGTATCAGGTAATAGAAGTAAGGAGGTATTCATTACACTGGTGCAGCACTGGTCTTCCTGTCCTAAGAGCGCATTTCAATGGCTTCCTGTTTGGATAGGTATGTGTTATAGGCAATATGAATTTATTGGCAAGAGGTAAACCCAATGCTACTCTTTATGGACTTTTCATATTTGTGAAAAAGTTTATCTAAAACTCAGGGGTAGTATTGGTTGAAAACTGAAAATATATGTGTCTCTCAAATTTTGCATAGGCCAAAATTTCTGCTTGCGTACAGTGATCAAAACTTCAGAGCATTTTGTTGGGTGCATCTCCTCTATCTGCCTGGACTAATGACAAGTCACATTGTTTAATTAGAATTAGGCTGAAGAATTTTAGGGCTCCTGATATTTTCAGACCTTCTTTGTAATAAAATTACTACTGTGTTCATTCTTTGAATTTATCTGGTCAACCTGCCATAGGAAACGTTTACTAACCATAACTTGCTATACAGTTCTGTGGTTTGGTTTTTTTTCCCCTTTGAACATTTTTTGCTAACTTGTTTCTTTATTACAGTGTTTAATGCAGGAATATTTGCCTGTATTTGCATTAAGACAAGCTTCTCCTGTCCTTTCGATCACTCCCTTCATTATTGTTTTGAGGATGTTACCTTCTGGGGTGCAACTAATCTTATGCTCACTGCATCATTACCTTTTGCAATTAAATTAGCGATTCTTTGCCATTTATAATCATTAGCTGAACCCAAGAGAAGCCCAACCAATCCACAAGGTCTGGGTAGATTCTGTTGAAAATATGACAGTTAATATTTCTGTATACAGAGTTTAGGTCAGATGTCACCAAATCACTAAAACTCTTCCTTGGGTAAATGCAGTATGTTTGGTAATGGCAGATGAGTGCAACAGAATGAAATGGGGATATTAACGTATAGATATTTTTCTGTTTGCCTTATGTTTTCGCAAAAGGGAGGAGTAGAGGTCTGGTTTTGATCATTTTTATCCAAATTATTAATTAGATTCCTTTCAGATTTCTTGTCCCTTCTGGATTCTTTAGTAGCGTTTAA